TCAGCAGCCGAGATGCATTTGTTCGGCAGCAGCTCAATGATTTGCTAACCAAACCATAGAAAGCTTAAATTAAACCGCGTTAAACAAGGGTTTTAAAGATACATACTTAATTATTATATAAATATTTTACCACATACATATTGTGCATAAGTGTAGAAAGTTGTAAGTTATTACTTTACAAGTATAGCCAATTCTCGATTCTTGCTAATAAGTTGTATGAAATATTGGTCATGCGGCATTAATTACATGCCAGGAATCTCATCATGGGGTAAAAACCTGTTGATTTAGTGCATAAAAGTGGAAGATCATAGCGGAGAAGAAACCTTTTCATCGCGGAATGAAGGACGGACACGTGGCGGATGCGCTGTTTCGGGACACTGTAGGGAGCGCGGCGTGACGTCACGGGAGACACGAGACGCCGGAAGTGCTGCGGACACACCCTCCTCGTGTCCGGGATGGTGTGCATGATGATGGATCGAACGGTAAAGTGGGATATGAGGAAAATGCTTGTGTGCGGGTATGGATGTATATGCGGGTATGTAAGGCCTCGGACATTCAGTGTTTTTTCCTTGCTTCGGAGAAAGTGCGCCCAGGCAAAGACGCGAACGGAGGATAAACAAATAGAAACTGCATCATCAGTCATCGCTCGCAGGGAGACCCCCAGCCAGCCCACGAAGCTCGTGTCGGTGCCCGCCTGACATTCATCAGGTGGACATTAATGCGATTCCGCGCGATTTCACTTCAGGATTCCGGTCGTGACTCGGCAATCGTGGCCTTTGTGATGCTCGTCCCTGCATTACTCAAGCGTCACACCCGGGCCGAGGCAGCGTCACCGTGTGGACAGCAGTAGTAGATGTCCTGGAGGGTATTGCAACGGGGGGGGGGGGGGCTGTGTCACGTGAGAAAGATGGATGAGGCTGATTTCCAAAGACTGAAGCTCCGAAGCTCCGATGATTTTATTGGTGATGCCGCTTTGTAGTGGGAGTGCTGCAGGCGGAGGCATAGCTGGTGGCCCCGTCCCGCCGCCTGGCACGGGCGACGGCCGCCGTCGGAGCTTGCATGTGTTCCTCGGCCGATCATGTGTGTCCGAGACCCTATTGTAACGTCGTCATGTTCGCCCGGCTACACACGCCGCCATGTCAGCTATGACAGAATGAAGATTTACATTCAGAAATAACAGTTCACGGACCGCAGATTCGGGAAGAAGCGCCGTCGGGTCTCGTTGAGGCAAGACGATCGGGGACTTTCTCGGAAGACTGGTTAAGTTACTCGACACATGTGGGTCACCGGCCTCCGTCCCCTCCTCTTCATTCTCCTCTTTGCCTCCCCCTCCTCTTCCTCTCCTTTGCCCCCCTCCCTCTTCCGATGCCTCATCGACCCCCTAACTCTCCGCCCCCATCCTCTTAATCCCCCCCTCCACTTTCTCTCTCTCTCTCTCTCTCTCTCTCTCTCTCTCTCTCTCTCTCTCTCTCTCTCTCTCTCTCTCTCTCTCTCTCTCTCTCTCTCTCTCTCTCTCTCGCTCTCTCTCTCTTGCTCTCTCTCTCTCATATGATTATTACTATTATTATTGTTATTATTATTATTTCCGTCAGTATTATCATTATTGATGTTATGATTGTTATTGTTATTATTATTATTACTATTACTATTATTATTATTGTTATTGTATTTGTTATTATTATTATTAGTATTGTTATTATTATTATATTCATCATCATCATCATCAGCAGCAGCAGCAGCTGCTGCATTATTGTTATTATTGTCATGATTATTATTATTTCATTGTTATTGTCATTGCAATTGTTGATCGCGCTGCACCTCAAGTTTGTTATCAGTCGAACTTACTCACCCATGCATTGGCAGATGAGTCTGCGGACATGCCCACACACAGGCCTCATTTTTTCTCCTCACGTGTCCGACTTTTCTCCTTGCTCGCGGTCGCGGTGTCCACAACTGTCATTCACGGCGCCGCGTAGAAACTTTAATCGTGATATTAATGCTCTATATAGACGCCGGAACTAGGCTGACCCAAACCGCACACATTCCGGGCCGGCTGTTTCGCGCAGATGACGTATTACGTACCGCTGTTCAGATCAAAATAACCTGTTTTCCGCCAGACGATTGACAAGCTCCGGCGGCGTTGGCATAGTGACGGTGTCATCCGCGAGGTGATGGATCTCGGAATTCTTTGTAAAGGTCTTTTGAGTTCGCGGATTCTTTATGAGTGAACTTGTGAAAGTTTATGAGCCATTTGAAAAGCAAATTATCTCTCTCTCTCTCTTTCTCTCCTTTCTCTCTCTCTCTCTCTCTCTCCTCTCTCTCTCTCTCTCTCTCTCTCTCTCTCTCTCTCTCTCTCTCTCTCTCTCTCTCTCTCTCTCTCTCTCTCTCTCTCTCTCTCTCTCTCTCTCTCTCTCTCTCTCTCTCTCTCTCTCTCTCTCTCCTCTCTCTCTCTCTCCTCTCTCTCTCTCTCTCTCTCTCTCTCTCTCTCTCTCTCTCTCTCTCTCTCTCTCTCTCTCTCTCTCTCTCTCTCTCTCTCTCTCTCTCTCTCCTCTCTCTCTCTCTCTCTCTCTCTCTCTCTCTCTCTCCTCTCTCTCTCTCTCTCTCCTCTCTCTCTCTCTCTCTCCTCTCTCTCTCTCTCTCTCCTCTCTCTCTCTCTCTCTCTCTCTCTCTCTCTCTCTCTCTCTCTCTCTCTCTCTCTCTCTCTCTCTCTCTCTCTCTCTCTCTCTCTCTCTCTCTCTCTCTCTCTCTCTCTCTCTCTCTCTCTCTCCTCTCTCTCTCTCTCTCTCTCTCTCTCTCTCTCTCTCTCTCTCTCTCTCTCTCTCTCTCTCTCTCTCTCTCTCTCTCTCTCTCTCTCTCTCTCTCTCTCTCTCTCTCCTCTCTCTCTCTCTCCTCTCTCTCTCTCTCCTCTCTCTCTCTCTCCTCTCTCTCTCTCTCCTCTCTCTCTCTCTCTCTCTCTCTCCTCTCCTCTCTCTCCTCTCCTCTCCTCTCCTCTCCTCTCTCCTCTCTCTCTCTCTCCTCTCTCTCTCTCCCTCTTTCCCTCCCTCCTTCCCTCCTTCTCTCCCTCCCTCTCCTCAAATTCCTTCCCTCCCTCCCTCCCTCCCTCTCTCCTTCCATCTCCTCACATTTACTCACTCACTCGCTCTCGCATATCTGTTTTCCCTTATTCTCTGCACGGAATCCACAGCCTAGAAATTACTATTCCCAAGTTCGTCAAGGAACGTGTTTTCTTACATGAGATTTGCCCAAAGTTCTGTGCCTCGGGAGCTCGCACGAAGAAAGCTGAAAAGTGTAGGATTCCAGGGAAGTCCTTCGCCGTGCCCGAGTTCGCGGATGGGCGAGGATCAGCTGTCACACAGGAGGTTCTTTGAGTGAGCATTGGGAGCACAGTGCCTTGCAGATGTGTTTGGTAAAGGCTGGTAGAATACGCGAGCTGATTTAGGCGTTTATGGTGTTCGTGGCAGGTAAATTGAGGGGGTTGCCTTCGGATGCGTAGGGAGGAAGCTTCTGAAGATGCGCGTTTGTTTATACTGTTTGTGTGTGTGTGGGACGGGGGGTATTTGAATGTGTAAAAGGGGTTCTGTGTAGGTTATCGTCAAGGAGGGGGGGGGGATCTTTTTGGACGTGTTGCGGTTTTCAAGGCGCTTGGAGGTCTGTATTGTTGGTGCTATGGCAAGTGAAGGAAGGGGGCTGTGTTTACTTGTGTGGTAAAGGTGTTCCGAAAACCCGGCTGTTTAAATTATGGTGTTTGTGGGAGGAAAAGAGTGTTTGGATATGAGCGAAAGGGACTTTGAAGATGCACGTGAGTATAGTAGCTGTGAAGGGGAAAGGGGATCCTAGGAAAAGTTATAAAGTGTAGTCAGAGAGAGGTACGTCTGGGCGTATTAATCATTTGGGGGAACCTGGGACCGTATGTGTGATGTATTAGGGGCGTACGAGCCGAGGCGAAAGAGGGCGTGGGAAAATTGAAATATAATGAAGGGTGCGCGTGTGTGTGAGCCATTTCTGACAGCAATCCGCTTGGCGTTCGTGTGACTCTTGTTTGTGACGTGCATGAAGCGTGTGGCCAACGCGTGCCTGTAGTAACAGTGTAATGTATGCTTGTGTCAGTGTTAAAGATTGGATATACAAATTTTATTGGTCTTTGGAAGTATATATAAAGTTTGAAGAACTGGCATATCTGTGTATGTGGTTATGTATGTATATGTGTATAGATGTATGTTTATTTTTGTTTACATGCATGTAGTAATAGTGATGTATGTGATTATTCGTTATGTATGTATATGTGTATGGATGTATGTTTATTTTTGTATACATGCATGTAGTAATGATGATGTATGTGATTATTCGTGCAGAACACTGGTGTTTATCTGCATATACGTGTCGAATTTTCCGAATATTTATATACAAATGTCGATTACACTGTGTGGGTTTTGTCATTGAAAGCGGGGTTTAGTGTTTCTATTTATAGAAATGCTGTCTTATATATGTAAAGTTCTAAATGAGGAGATAAAAATAGATGCATCAGGACTCGAGTATAAGCAACCACAGCCTTGTATATGAATCCCAACTGCAACGGCGTGTATGTTTTATACACACAGGAAAAAATATATATAATCTTAGAAGACATTACCATGAATTGCAATGATGTGGTGCACGAAGTGTGACGAAGGTGAGCGCACTTTGGGCAGAAAGAATGCAACGATTCACAAAGTCATGGGCGTAAAATATGGGCAAGAAATGAACTAGGAAGACTTTGCTGTCCAGTCGAAAGACTTTTTCATACTATCTGATGATAATTACTGTAGATCCGGACAGTGTACGCAGAGCCTGTTATGGTCTGGTGGGCTCGCATGAAAGACAGCCACGCTACAAGGCTGTTGCTTCGTCAACATGCGGGTGTGTGTCGTCACGGTGTAGGTGTAACACTTAAAGTGAACATGTTTTCGCAACTTGAATAATATTGAATAGCACTGCCGACTCAAGAATATATAAATACTTACCTTAGACTTACAATCAGCACTGAAACTTGTTTGATTTAATGTTGAAACGGAGTGTGTTCGATCTGGCTCTGTTTAAATCACCACTGACCAAGCTCATCAAACACTATGAAATATTTATATTTACATGTATTTTTTTCCAAATATATATCGTCAAGAGGCTGTACCACAGAAGCGGTAACCACACACTGGCGCCTGCGCGTCAGAACTGCGAGAGAGTCAATAGGGCACTGAGTCAGTGGAGACCCGCGAGGTTCTGTCGCGCGGAAAGACACACGGTGCAACTCATCGCGCATGCGCAGACGCGTCGAGAGGGGCGGACCCTCTATGGTTGTCTAATGTTGAGCTTTCTTTTCGTTTTCTAGAAAGATTTGTAATTAACGTGGAGGCATCTAATTGGCTGATTCCGCTGCACTGTATTTTGATAATTACCATAAACAAGTTTGAGTAGATTGTGAATGTTTGTGCAGTCTGTAGGTGCGTAGGGGCTTTGTGTTACATAAACATAATCAGTGATTTGAGAAAAGCTAAAAAAATATTTATATAATTAGCAAGTAGAGGATATGTAATTGTTATTCAGATGAATGCTATATGCATACTTTAATCCTGTTTGTAGTACAAGTCTTTTGTTACTGTAATGTTATAAAAGAACAGTTAATTTTATCATCTTGCTTTTGTATATACAATGCTCATTCCTTTTGATATAATTAAGCCATTACTTGATTTTACTTTAATGGAAGAAAGACTGGAAACTCTCACAGCGCCTGCAGTCAAAAACAACGTCATCTGCAGTTTAAGCATTGCTGATAAATTATTTGAAGATCAGGAGGGTCGGAATGGCATGCTTTATGAATCAGGTAAAAACGGGGTCTTAGGATATCCAGTAGATAGCCATGCGCAGGAAGTGACGTGAGCAGTGTACTCTAATTAGTGTTCGAAATATGGCGGTTCCTGAACATTCTGGATCTCAGACGGGGACCCATCGCCAGTATTTTGTATTTTGGGTTGGTAGAAGGAATACAAATTCCAAATTCTTATTATATTCATCGACATGTGAAGTAGGCAGTATTGTCCAGGGCTGTGCATTTTGTAATATAGGGTAAGGGTTAATAGAAGCATCCATTATCAGCACTTCGGACATGAAGAAATCACTTAAGAACTAAAAGAATATATACATTCAGGACATACGGGGCCAAATGCTGCGCTTCTTCGCTTGGTGGTCCCCATGGGAGGGAGGGAGAGATTGAGAGAGAGAGAGAGAGAGAGAGAGAGAGAGAGAGAGAGAGAGAGAGAGAGAGAGAGAGAGAGAGAGAGAGAGAGAGAGAGAAATTGAGTTGATAAATTGATTACGCCCAATGGACGACAAAGAATTTTATAAAGATGTGTGTGTGTGTGTGTGTGTGTGTGTGTGTGTGTGTGTGTGTGTGTGTGTGTGTGTGTGTATGTATGTGTGTGTGTGTGTGTGTGTGTGTGTGTGTGTGTGTGTGTGTGTATGTATGTATGTATGTGTGTGTGTGCTTGTATATGTATATGTATATGTATAAATATATATATATATATATATATATATATATATATATATATATATATATATATATATATATATATATATATAATGTATGTATGTAAGTCTGTATATATGTATGTATGCAATATACATCTACAGTTTAATAAGTAAATTGTTTGCTCTTTTGATAGGCTATTTATAAACAGTTAATAGTACAATAAAATCCCTTTAGGATTTTAATTAAACGTCAAGCTTATATAAACACAAGTCCCAACGTATGCACTCATCACAGCGCTTTTTAGAACACATTGTTATTAGGAGGGTAAGTAAAATCATCGTTTTTTGTTATTACATGCTTGTGGTATACGGTAAGGTTGATTATATGTTACACATTAAATCTGTACTGAGATAGAATTACAGATGATGCAATCTGGCTTGAATTACTTTATCTAGCTTAAATAAGACTTAAATAACGGAAAGTAATCATGATACAGGTAACTAGTTACTATCATTAAGTGGAAAAGGAATAGATATTTTCATACTGAAAGTTTCAGTGAAGATAGATTTTAGCGTATGTTGGCTTTTGAAATATGTATATATATATATATATATATATATATATATATATATATATATATATATATATATATATATATATATATATATATATATATGCGCGCGCGCGTGTATATGTGTGTGTGTGTGTGTGTGTGTATGTGTGTGTGTGTGTGTGTGTGTGTGTGTGTGTGTGTGTGTGTGTGTCTGTGTGTGTGTGTGTGTGTGTGTGTGTGTGTGTTCAAGAAATTAAAGATCCGTTTTAACTGATCATATGAAATTGATACAGGAAATGTCTCCCTGATAAGTGTGAGTTCAACGCGCGTGTCTGCAACGCTTCGCAACTGATATTGTATTGTGTGGTTAGTACCTTTGTAAACCTTTGCTTAGACTGATATTAGAAATTCCTTGTATCTAGAGGAATAGATAATTAAATAATAGTACCGAATTCTAATTATATTTAGTTTCGTTCGTTAAACATGAACAATATAAGAATCAGAACGGTAAATACAGCCACAGACCAAAGACATATATTACACATCCGGCCAGCGTTCTCCAGTGCACGTCCCTCGACTGGGAGGGAGGGAGGGAGGCAGGTAATATGCCTAGCCAGTGGGGTTGCGGGAAACTATACGCTGTGTATAATTTCGACTGAGTCTGGGTGGCCATGAAGAACTTGGTCTTGTCTCGGTGAAGGTGTGTGTGTATGTGTGTGTGCGTGCGTGCGTGTGCGTGCGTGCGTGCGTGCGTGTGCGTGCGTGCGTGCGTGCGTGCACGTGTGTTTCCGTGGCTGTGTCTGTGTGTGTTATAGTTCATTATGCTATTACTTTTTTCATAGAAAATCATTTTCCGTTTGCAGTTTACTTTCTCTCGTGTTTCTTGTTGTGAAAAATGTTAAAAAGATAATCGCATTCAGCGTCAACGTAGTAAAACTGGATCGCAAAAACCCCATCCGTTTCGCGTGCCGGGCGAGCGCTCGAATGTCAAGTGGCTTTTGATGTCTTCCTGGGGAGATCTCGGGAAATGTGGATTAAAAGGTCAAGGGATTTCTATTTGCATTCATTTCTTTAGCTTTAGTATTATTTAGTATTTATTTTAGGAAAACGCGAGTTTTACTATGAAAATTAAGAAACGAAGCACTTTCTACACACGTCACCTTTCTGCAACCCTTTGTATGATAATACTTTCCACCATAGGGCCTGTGCTGGGAAGTATTTGCCCGCACGTCTCTTAAAGAGTCCTCTCCTCTTCTCTTCTTCCCTTGCTGTCTAACTCCCCTGGCACAGTGCATGGGCTCCTCTGTGCACGGCGGAGTCGGCGATAAGCGTCAGCCTCGGCGGCGGGAGCGACCGGGGCGAAGATCGGCCGGGCGCCACGGATGCGGTCGAGGCGGCGTCCGGATAAGGGGGTCATAGCAAGGCCGACTGCCGGTTTCTCTCTCATCTTCGGCCATCAGCCATGAGGCGGTCGCTTTTAAGCCGCCGTCTCTTAACCACAATTTCTATTATGATTACCAGGGCAGATCACATGATTTAACCTCCCCCCCCCATCCCCAAGTACACCCACACGCACGCGACAAGTATTCTGCGTTTTGTTGCTCGTCCCTCGTGTGCAAGACGCGCTCCACGGCAAGGACATGTGCGGGCCGTGCACACTCACGCACCGTGAAGAAGCTTTCCAGCAGCTTCACGGGGGATTCTCCGCGAAGTGCAACTGCCAAGGATGCATTCCGAGTAAGTCGGGGGCTGACACGGCGCTCGATCTCTGCCTCGCTGTCTTTTATCTCTCTCTTCCTTTCTTTCCCTCCCTCCTCCTTTCCTGCCGTCCTTTTTGCCTTCTTTCTTTATCCCCTCCCCTCCCTACCCCCCCCTCTCTCTCTCTCTCTCTCTCTCTCTCTCTCTCTCTCTCTCTCTCTCTCTCTCTCTCTCTCTCTCTCTCTCTCTCTCTCTCTCTCTCTCTCTCTTAGTGATGTGGAAAGCCGGTAGAATGAACTGATGACGCAGGGTAGGAGCCACCTCTTGCGGGGGCAGCGAGCAGAAGGGGAATGCAAGGTAGCACTCCAGCGCACTTTGGGGTCTCTCGTTGAATAACATCAAGCGAGGAATTCATGAATGACGAATCTGTTAGAGGACGTGGTGACGGTGGAGTAGTGTTTGGCATGCGTCAGAAAGGAGTATCAAGGACGAAGCATATGACGTAAGATATATCAGCTGAAATATTGGGTTGAGGGTAATATCTTTCTGAATGTTTGATAATACATTGGCTTATGCAGTGATGGTAATATAAATTATGATGTAACTTCTATTGAAATTGAAAATGGCTATTGGGCAGGGAGAGACGATAGGGAATGAGAGAGAATTGTAGGGGTACAAACTGAGAGGGAGTCAGACAGACAGAGATGGGGGGGGGGGGGGGTTGAGGTGTAAGAAAGAGAGAAGCGTTGAGGACTCCTGAAATCCTATCCCGCTGAGGAAGGGGATGCCTGCAAATATTTAAAGTATGAACTTCTTGCCACTCTCCCCACTCCATTTCCAATTATCAATTGTTTCCTTTCAGTATCATTTGTTGCAGTTTTCTTTTCGCTTTTCGTTTTTCTCACTCATTCCCCTTGCCTCCCCCCCCCCTCCGTCAGCCTTGCTTCCCCCCCTCGCGCCTTTTACCTCCTCCGCACCCCCCCCCCTCCTCACCCTTTTCCCCCTAAGCAGTGCCGTCCTCAGTCCCCGATCCCGTGTGTTTGCATGCCCTTATCGACCTCCCCAGGGCACCCCCTCCCCAGGGCACCCCCTCCCCAGGGCACCCCCTCCCCAGGGCACCCCCTCCCCCGGTCGTTTAATGTCGTGAGCAGAGCCCATCCATCAAAACTGGAAGTAATTATTCAATAAGTTTCGAAACTCGTATCGCGGGACATGTATCATATCAAACTACATACGTTATATACGCTCACTCTTAAGCAAACGCACTCATTTATCACTCCATCCCCCCTTTCTGTCTCTGTATCTCCCTCCCTTCCTCTCTTTCCTTCCCTCCCTCCCTCTCTCTCCTTCCTCTCTCCCTTCCCTCTCTCTCTCTTTCCTTCCTCCTCTCCCTCTCTCCCCCTCTCTCCCTCCCTCTCTCTTCCTCTTTCTCTCTCCCTCTCTCTTTCTCTTTCTCTCTCCC